AGAGAGAGAGAGAGAGAGAGAGAGAGAGAGAGAGAGATTGTTAAATAAGCTGATTATCATGGAAATGCATGAAATGATTTCCATGACTATCTCTGAGAAATAGAATAGCAGAAAAACTTGAAGTGAAAGAATTCTCTTTACTAATCAGAAATTCTATCACTATTTTTATCTTGCTCTAAAATGAACCAGAGAAGTAGAAGACTTAAAAAATTTAAATAGCTTATAATAAAATAAGCAATTCTTGGTGGAGATAACAGAGGATATTGGGGTTAAGTGAGAATATTAATTATTTTAAAGCTCAGATATTTCTTCCAATATTTGCAGAATAATGGTAATTCTATTAAATTCTTAGATTTCATTCTGATATTGAGGAGAGATAATCAAATTAATTGTCAGTCAACAAGTCAAAAGCAACTGAAAATTTCGAAACAAAAAGCCATCATCACTCCACAGCTATAGAAAATGTTGCAATTTTTTAGTAGCGCTAATATTACATGAGGTAATAAAACAAAACCAAACGATTACAAACATAAATTTATGCAATAATTTTTTTCCGGTTAAGGGTAATGTGAATCAAAGTTTTAGTCTAATTTATGCATTTCAGTTAGCGTTAACTTTTAATGAAAATTTAACTGATGCATAGTAAAGCTTTCATTTTTTAAATATTATGCTATATAGCCTAAATGACGTATTTTTCAGATGTGACATCATCATCAAGAAAACCGCTATTCCTATCTGAAGTACAACAGCATGGTAACTTCATTTGTTTTTTAATTAAATTAATTAATTGATATGTTATACAAAGTACTCTTTTCGTTCAAATATCATTTAATAAATTTAATGAAAATTGATGTAGAGTGACGCTTTAATATATTCCATATAAGTCTCAGATATTTTTCAGTGTTTACATTTATTAATAAAGCATTGAGCACAAATGACTGATAACAAATATTGAAAAAGTTTTTGTGCAAATTATTGTGCAAACATACTATGTGCATTATACTTTGTTTGAGTGAAATAATAATTTGAAAGATGAATTATTGATTTCTTTCTCATAAAATAATTATATTGCTGATGAAGTATAAAAAAGGTCAAACAATTCAAATGATAATCGAATTTTACTTGACTACTTCATTCATTCCGCAAATTGTCATTTCAATTTCATTTGTATATTTTCATATATATAAATGTCCAAATTTGGAATACTTCTTCATTTTTTACATAACTCTATTTGTTTTATTAAAATGAATGAAATATACTTCAAAATTAGACAATAAATTTAAATTTGCCTCTATTATTGTTTGTTAAGTATCAGATTAAAAAAAAAAAGTTGAATTATCAAAAAGTCTTTACTATTCACAGCGATAAATATAACATTAAGCAGAATAGCTATCAATGAATTCATTAATGTTTTCACAAATTTCAAGTCATTCAAGTTTCTAAAATATATCTTTGCTCTCTTCTCAAAAATTTTGCATCATCATTTTGCTCAAAAATGAAACAAAAAAGTGGACGACTGTTTTTTTACATTCTTTCTTTCTTCCTTTCTTTTTGTTTTCGTAATGCACAAGCCGTTTCTGCAGGATATCACACTGCTTTGGGAAAAGCAATGTCAGAGATCAAATCGAAGCATCAAAATAATGAACTGAACGATGAATTCCGAAAGACCATATTCACAACAAATGGTTCTCGAGCACACGATGTTGAGAATATGGAAAGTCGAAGTTACGATATCAATTTATCATCCCAAGAAGTTTGCATCTCTTGATAGCCTTCTTATCATAAAATTAATGTTGTGAAAAGTTGCTTTCGAGATGATTTTTGATATTTCAAAGAAAAATAAAGAGCAACAAAATAAAAATCATCAATTCATTGTTTATTACTTCATTATTGAAGTTGTGTTAATCATTGGATCTAAAAAAAGCGTTTTCATGATCTGCTCTTAGCGGCTTTTTTGATTTGATTTTAAAACTTGAATGCAATCTTTAATTCCAAAATTTTCAGGTTTTTGAAATTGTTTTAAACATCTTTTTTTTCTTTGTCTTTTTTGTGGTCGAAATATAATCTTTGTTGTACGAGCAGGGTAAGACACACTATTTGGGTAGTAGAACGCCGGATATGCCACGACGTTCGTTCACTCTCGCATCATCAACACATAATCAGTATGTGAGTGATACGGAAGCAATACAACGACCGCAATGGAGGATACGTTCATCGGTGGAACGATCATCGAGTGCTGCAGATATTGGTGGATTTGTTAGTATGAGACGTCGGAAAGGAAATGATAATGCTAAACCGATACCCCCTATTCCATCATCAATATCTTATCCAAGAAATTGCACGCTTTTCTCAGTATGTCTATTTAATAATTTTGTTTCTTTTTTCTTTTTAAATGTAAAATTTTGCAATTCGTTTTTAAATTTTTACTTGAAAAATTAGATTAGATGAAATATTATTAGCATTTAATTATTATAATGCAACTGCTACTTCCTATCTTTTTCTCTAAGAAATAAATTCAAAATTGTATTAGTTTTATTGATTATTTTTTCGAAAATAATTTCGCTATTTTTTCATTCTTTTCAAAATCCACCTAACACACTTTGCTTTATCTGTTTGATTGACAAAGAAAATTTTTAGTTTTACTGATATCTTAATCATGACTGCAGGAACGAATAAGATGTGATCGAAGTTCACCATCTCATTTGTCATTCAATTTTTCGACAACCGAAAAATATTCAACTCCAAAGAATTTTGGCAATGTTAAAACAACCACGAAAACATCTATGAAAAATATTTCAAATGGGTAAGATTTACATAACAAATAGCAGGTAAATAAATATCTAAATTCGGATAATTTTATTTACAAATGAAATGATGGTCTTAATTATTAATTTATTAACTTTACTAAAAAATTGATATTATGCAATTCTGCTTCTGTTGCTTAAGTTTTCAGTTGGATGCAATGAAATTAAAAAACAGTTAAATTAAATTAATCTAATTGAGACAATTTTTGCATTTTATTCACTTTTATCCTTTTCCTTCGAAATATTTCAAACATTTTAGGGAGAAAGAAAAAGTTTGAAAGGAAAGGTTTTTTTTGCAGCATTATCGAAAATGATTTTGTGCAGTTAACAAACGGAGATGCACAGACGGTTGGTTCAAAAGATCCGAATAACGATGTCAATGTCAATGCCAACCGACTATGCTTTCAATGCTGCAACCTTCAAAAACAGCTGTCTGATTTATCGTGCAGGTCGTTTCCATTTCTGCGCATTATCTTCTTATAACAAATTTTACAAATTTGTTGTTGTGAAAGTATAACTGTGATGAAAAAATACTGATTATTCTGAAGTTACTTTTCGGCTTTTTGCATCCTTTAATTAATTTTGATTGGATTTCACAAACATTGATGATCCAATCAAATGAATTAGGAAGGTAGTAAGACATTTAACTCAAAGCAGAGTGTCCTATTATCTTCTTTATCATCAAAAATATGCGTTCATCTTCTTTATCATTAAAAATATGTCCATCTTAAAATGATCAAATATTAAAATTTTAATTTGATTGGATTTTACACATTTTGCTGTATATCACGAGTTGTGTTTCTAAGTTGCTGATAAATGAAATTAAGATTAAAAGAAGCGACGGATGAAATGAAAAGTAAAGAAATTGGAGAGTTAAGAAGGAAGAGAGAAGATACAATTGTTGTTGATAAAAATGTCGGAGGCTCGTGTGAAATGCTTAATAATTCAACGATTGAAACGATACAGGTGGAGAAAAAAGATGCTGCCAATGATGCATTGTTTATTGAAGTTGAAAATAAGGTTATTGTTTATTTTGATTCAATTAAATTTTCAATTTATTTTTTGTGAAATTACATGAAATAACGTGTGTGTTTTGCTTACATCATCTTATCATAATCAAAAGTTTACAACGGATAATTACGTTTTCATAGTAGTGGTATTTTATTGTGCATATTCTTTAAATAAACTAATAATGAAGTGATAATTTGTAGAGGACAAGTGTATCATTGGCGGATCGAATTGAAATGCATTGGTATGAAGATACCACCACTTCAACTGTTCCAGAACCACAACGTTACTCAATTGGTGTTATAACCGATAAACTGTTAGCTTCTTCACCTTCTCGAGATACTATAATTGATTCGAGAAGTGATGAATTACTAACTGTTAAACTAGAATGTGATACTGTACCTGTGCTCACTAATGGTTAGTTGAAATACCTTCAAATATCCAAATTTTTTAGTATCACTGATTAAAATTCTAACTTCTTTCAAGGTTTGCTATTAATAACAATTTCAAGCATTCGTTCTGAACAATATTATTTATGACAAAATATTTGCAAAGAATAAGAATGATAATAAGGAGAAATGGAACGAAAAAAATGATAAGAAAAGATCTAAGAATAGATTTAATTATATTTAAAAATGTTGAACTTTAAAAATAACATTCATAATTTGAATAAATAAGTCGTCTATTTTTATAATAAAATTCGTATATCGTACTTTTGAATTCAAGCAGGAATAGATTGTGGCTGTGGAAGTGATATGTTTACTGTAATGTGTGATTTTTCGAGTATGACGGATGCTGTCGAGTTGGTTGACTCTGGAAATGAGAGTAAACAAACCATTTCTTTGCTCAAAGATTCCTTTTCGATGACAACTCCGATCACATCCCATTCACGTCACATTCAAACGGAACATATCAAAACGAGGTGCCGTTTTTTATTTTTCAAATATTTGCCACATTTGAAAGTAACTTTTACTGCACTTTACTGAACTTTATGTTTTATTCTTTTTACTAAATTCAAACTGTTCATTAAAATAATTTTTTGACTTATTTACATATATATGATATTCTAGAAGTTATTTTACTATGAGTTTAAGCAAACTATTTGAAATTCTTTGATCCAAATAAAATTTGAAAACTTTCCATTCGAGCAGAGATGGCTTTAAAATATCTCATTTAGTAAGTTACAATTTTATAGAACAGTATGCGTTTCCACATCACCGGAACATCTTCTAAATAATAGTGCCGGTACAGCACAGGTAATTCAAAAAGATTCTTACACAACTTGCGATAATATGGATGCTGAATTAAAAAATGAAAAGGAAATTGAACGAAAGATATGTTACAGTAGTGTAGCGCTGCAAACAGACTTTGGTTTGTTTTAATTTATTTTTTTATAATTCTAATTATGACAATTAATGATCATTAATTTTAAACAAATAGTATCATTGTTCTAACTTGAATGGACTAATAAACAATAATGAGTAAGCAAAAATACCGTTTCAGTAAATCATTGACTCAATATATAATAAATTATCTATTTCAAAATTTTGAATTATGAATTAACTTAATTTTGATTTTGAATTATGAATTAACTTAAGAGATCAAGGAGCAGCATCGAAAATGTAAATACAGAAGACGAGTAGTAAAAACTCGGGAAAGTAATGTAATTTGCTTTATTACTTAACTAATCAGCGACATGTAAATAATTAAATTTAATACATTACAGAACCGGAGCAAAATGAGCCAAGAATAATTGATGATATGGAAATAGCAGAATCGCTATGGCTGATTCCGCCTAAAGACAGAAAGGATGTAGCAGTGGGTAACGAGGATGATGTGATCGAGGTATTTAAAATACCTCCGACGCCTGATACTGAAATGCCTCCAACATCTGATAATAAAATATCTCCAGAAGATGATAAAATCAAGTTGCAAAAAGGGATGATATTAGATAGTGATGATGACGATACGGTAAAGCTCTTTTTCAATGTCATTTTGAATTTCGATGATATGATAAATCTTCTAAAGAGCACATTTCACATATTCTTTTGCAAAGCTTAATTATGTGAATAAGTTTCTTTTTGGTTACGGAAATTGAAATCTATAAAATTTGTTGTTACTATTCATTGATAGATGATTAATCATTCGCCTATTAAAGATTTCTGTAGTGGAAGAAACATTGTGGGATCCAGAAGATATCGATTTCGAAAGTTCAAAGTCTGCGGAGCAGTTGTCGTTGAGGCAACATAATACAGACAATTTAGACGATAAAATTACAAATGAGATCGCCACAGAGGTCAAAACATCTCGAGCATTAGGTCATACTCGCGCAGCTGTAGTTAAAAAAATATTAACTGAAAAATCACAGCCATTAAATTTCATTCGTGGTACGACAACATCCAAATCTTGGCGACCAACCACTAAAAAAGGTGACCCGTTACAGTACATCGTTGATCAGCATAAAACACAGGTAAATTAAATTTTTAATGAGTTTTTTTTAATAGTTCAACACTAAACATTCTACTTAGTAGACTTCCTTGACTTAAAAGACTTTTCCCCCTTCCTACTATGGGTTGAAATTTTTTACATAACAAATACTATTGCCAATTTTATATAAATTATAAAATTAACAAAAAAGGATGAATATCATTCAAAGTTCAAATTATTTCGTGGTTCATTATTTCTAAATAATTATTGACTTTCCGTTAATGTTTGTTAAGTTATTTAGAATAAAAACAAACCTACTTGTTCTTTTTTCTCTTCATTTCAACCAATATATGCAATTTAATTTGTCTTATTGGAATGAAAAAGAATTGCATTCGCATAACCGATAAATAATTCTTGAAAAGAGGAGAATGACAACAAAACTTCCTTTATTTTGCAGCATTTTGTATAATCATCAGTAGGAAAGTATATTTCAGAGCGGTTCAACTCCTTCAATACCTCAAACAGCAAAAGGTGCTTTGAAAGAAAAAGTCAATCTTAAGAAAGATGTTGTGCCATTACAAATGCCATTATCGAAGGTTCCGGAACCAGTTCCAGCTCGAATACCACGACCAAAAATCAGCAAATACATTCCTGGAGAAACTGTACCACAATCACCTGATGAAGTTTGTCTTTCATCTTTTCATCAACATTTATATTTGATAAGTTTTCTTCCGCATCAATAAATTAATGTTAAAAAATGTTTGTATTAACTTCCTGAAGTTTCGTAGTGTCGCACTTTCATGAATAATCAAATGCTTTTAGGAAGCTGAAATAGCCGATCGATTGACTCCATTACGTTCGGAGATGCGTACTCTACGAACATATTCCAACGGACGAGCAATAACGTTTTCCCGACCAGCACAACCTCTGAATAATGCATCACTGAGGATACCTCCCCCAACCTACGACAAAACTAACAGTCCTATCGTTTTTGAAGACAGGTAACATTACTTTGCAGTGAAATAATGCAAGAATTGAACAGTGTTTAATTCAAGAAATTTTTAATTTAACTCACAATTTTAAACTTATTTCTTCTAAACATTCTTAATTAAAATACTGTTTGTCATAAGAAATAAAAATAGAATAAGATAACATGAATTAATTGCAGTACAAGTTCATCTTCCGATTCGGAAGGTTCATACGATACGAATGAGACAGGTAATGCTACCCAATTTGAACCAACATCACAACTTAATGAAGCAATCGAGATTCTCAAAAAACACTTCCAGAAGCCGGATTCAGTTGAACCTTCTTTACTGGTAATAGAATCTGAAATTATCTCCGATTTTTCTTTTTCCTAATTCCTTTCTTTCATTTTTCTTGTGAATATTATTTTTAATTCAATATGAAGAATTTAAATTCCTATTTTGTTTAAGGATTGGGCAACAAAACATGCCAAACATGAATGGCTGAAAACGGCAGCGCGGAAAACAGCATCAGCGATTCAAGTGGAAGGTTTCATCGACTTCTTAGAAGCAACATCAGATGCTGTTCTCAAATTCGTCGTCAATCTGACTGATCCCAATGTTTATTCACTTTTTTGTTTTAAATTCTAATGAAAAGAGAAAGGAGAAAAGTCGGGAAAAAAGCAAAGCTATACTTACCTTTTTCATTTTGCTTAAAATTTCATATTCAAGTTGTTTTGAACAAATATGAGAATTTTTGCAGGAAAATACTGCTCTTCATTATGCAATATCTCATGGTAATTTTGACGTTGTTAGTGTGTTGTTGGATTCGCGTGTATGCAATTTGGATCGTGCAAATAAGGCAAGTTAATGAGCTTAAATGGAAACTTTTAGTTAACAGCAATGATTTTAAATCAAAATCCACTAAATTTAAAATGTCTATAAATTGCTGGATAAAATTTGAGTTAATTGACAATTATTAAAATGAATTATTTAGGCCGGATATACAGCAGTGATGTTGGCATCGCTTTGTGATGCATCTGATGAAGTTGAGGCTGCCATTATTCATCGTTTGTTCCAGTTAGGTGATGTTAATGCTCAAGCTGTTCAGGTTTGCATCTTTTTAAATGATTAGATTTTTTTGCTATCGTTCTCCTCGATATTTATAATTTATAAAAAATTTATTTTTCTATGGTAACAACAATAAATAAAATACGCAAGAAAGAGAAACAAAACTTTAGAATAGGATAAATAAAGCTTTAAAACGACATCGTTGAAAAAAATTAGTTTCTTATATTTCAAACTTTTAGTCTTATTTTAATGAAAAATTTTCAATATTTTAGCATGGACAAACAGCACTAATGTTGGCTGTTTCGCACGGTAAAATAAATACGACAAAATTGTTGATTGATTGTCAAGCTGACCTCAATATACAGGTTTTGATCGATCATTACACATAAGAAATATAAAAAGCAGTTTTTTTCGTGATTTTACCCAACGTATTTTTAATTGATTGATTGATTTTTTTTTAATTTGTTGGTTACTTGATTTTTTAATTTGCTGATTAATTCAAAATTACCATAATTTTCAAATTTATAAAGAATTTACAATTTAGGATGAGGAAGGCTCTACAGCATTGATGTGTGCTGCGGAACATGGCCATAAAGAAATCGTGAAATTACTGCTTGTACAACAAGATATTGATGCTTCACTTTCTGACTGTGTGCGCAGTTTTAATGTATTTCAAACAAAAATTATATCTAAATTAATCTCAATTTATCTGATAACAACAGCCCATTGATTAATAAAAATCAAAAAAGACAATCTTAGCAACAGTCTATTTTGCAATTCGTCGATAATTTATTCTTTCAAAACTTTGCAGATTTAAAATTCGGACCTAAATTTTAAATAATCAAATAGAAGCTTTTAACGAATATTTTGCAAGCCAAATATTACAGAAGAAATGATTACTTGATTTTAGAAATTTGAAAAATAATTATAGCTAATTTACTGTTAGGGATGTTATGATGAAGCTGAAAGTCATTAAATATAAGCGATTAATTAAGCAACACTTTAGGACAGTTCAACAGCCTTATCGATTGCGGTGGAGAATGGTCATCGTGATATCGGTGTTCTGATCTATGCACATCTCAATCATTCATGTAAACAAAATCAGAATCAGCAAAAGATTGAATCAACTTCTTGAAAGTCGCTCTTCATTATGCTATCTGTTCCAGTAGCTCATCATTTTTAGGCATAACTTTCAATGGATCATTAATAGGCGATAAACTCTTTGATAACCTACTTATGACGATCAGATTCAAATCATGATTTCAAATTACTTTATAAATTATGTAAAAAAGATTCAAGTTATATAAGGAATTATAATTCTAAAAAACCTAAGCAAAAGTTTCAATTTTCTTTTTGGAAGTAGCATTACTAAATTTATTTACTGATTTAGTAGAGTTGATTAAATGTACGAATTTCTACTGCAAATAAATAGCCTTGTTTATTCACTTAGTTTGTTTTTTTTTAATTTCATTAAATATTGTAAGTATACATTTGTATAGATCAAACTAAAAAGTAATGTGCAACTTAAATTTGGAACGAATATTTAAGTGCTTCTCCGGAAATAAAAGTTCAGCTTCATGTTTTTATTCCGAAGTTAGTTTCATATTTTTAAAATTCTAACAGGTTTTTAAATCCGAATATGTCACATAATTGTGCAAAGTTTATATATTAAAAAAATTTGAAAATAAACTTTCAAAAGAATACAACGGAACTTTTTTTATATAATATAAAAATGAAATTTTTAAAGAAGAAATAATTTTTAGGTGTGGATCTAAGTAATTGCATTGTTAATGAACCATTAATTAGTTCATTAATTAATACCAATCTTTTCAACAGTTTGTGACTTAATCGTATGGGAATGCTAATTCTAATAATCTTTTAACACATTAATTTCCATTTCCCTTAAATTCAAAGTGATTATTTTGAATAGTGTTGATTATTTTTAATATAAAAATGATTCAGATGAAATGTAACGTTAAGCAGCATGAATGTACCTGAAATGTAGTACAGATATTCCATTACTTAATAAAAATTTTCAATAACATATTCTGAGTCTCAAATCATTTCTGCTATATGAAATCTATTTAAACGCTCTGGAAAGAAAGAAATACTGCAGAACTACTTGTTCGATCGAGTAATAAGAAACTGAAATAGTAATGTGATCAGTTGTGGCAGTTAAAAAGTTCAAGCAAAAATTGCATACAGCAGAATAGGTATGGAAGTGAAGTTCATAATTGCATTAATATGGAAAGAAAGACGAGAAGTAATGAAACGCTATTAAATTCCAAAAATCACAGTTAATTTAACGATATTGTCTTGCTAACTTTATCAGAATCATTGCAGAAAAGCTATAGAATATATTTTTTAAATTTCGAATAGATTTGTAAAATTTTCATAGATAGTTGTTGACGAAAAGAATGTTGGTAACATTTGTTTACTCGTTTTTTTTTCTTAAAGGATAGAACGAAAAGTAAAATTGAAGCATTCTCGTAGAAAAGAAAGAGTGGATGATGAAAGAGTGGAAAGAGTGAAAGAGTGGAGAAAGAGTGGATGGGGCTGGTATTAAGCTATACTGACGGTGTACAAATGTGGTACAGGTATGGACTTAATAAAAAGATGATATCGAGTAGTACAGGTATGTACAGCTATGAGAAAAAGATAGAGATGAGGATGGAGGAAGGAACAAATCAGTAATGATTGTCGAGTCGTTCAGTAAACATTTGAGTGGAAATCAGTTCAGTTAAGTTTGGCTTTGGTTAGTCTTCTAATGGTGGTGACATTGATGAAAAACTAAGTAAATAAAGAATGGAAGAGGAAAGCTATTGGTAAGGAAGAAAAGTGGCTATGCAGAATGATACAACACACCTGTGTACATGTTATATATACATCCATCTGTACTTCTGTCTCATACAAAGTAAGTTACCTTTTCCCTGTCATCTCTAGGAGAAGTACTGAGAGGAGACTGAGGAAAGGAATAGCTGACTGTCTGCAATTGGTGACAGCTATTTGAGGACTCTATCATTCGACTGCTTTTCCTCATTTTATTTCTCTCATCAATGATTCTGTAAACGAAAGAGGAAGAAGTGAACTGTCCATCCAATCTATTTATGTAAAGCATTCATCAGCAATAGCAGCAGTTTAGTCGGTTAGTCAGTCAGCTAGTTTAATCACAACCAATCATACTGATCCTGAAATTTCAGAATTTTCAATCACTTCGTTGTCACTGAAATATGAGAGTGTTATAGAGATGAAGTTATCAATCTATATTTTTATCATGTAGGAAAAGGATATATTGTTGTATTTTGTCTGAATTACAGGGACACGGGACAAGGCAAGATGTTGGCATAGCTGAACATAATGATGGTTAGGCTCATAATTCAGAGCTTAATCAATTTGCAAAAGGTTTCAGCCGTGCCACATTAGGCCATTTCTCGGGTATCCATTCTTCTACTTCATAACTTCAAGTATTTATTTCATTTCTTCCTCCAATCGTTAATATTACTTCTTATCACTGGAAAACTCAAGATATCAGGTATGATATTATTAAAATAATTATCTTAATAAATCTAAGAACTTCAATTTACCAAAATTTTATAATCCCAACAATTTTGAGCGTTCTTTTTGACCTCTTGCAGATTAGAATTACTCATCACCATACTTTTTTTATTTTCCAAAGCAGCATTGAAGTCTAATTAGAGTTTAAAATAAAATTTATCAGACTTTTTTACAGGTAAAACAGAAATTCAAAATTTAAAGGTTAGTATTTCAACCTAAAGTCTGAAAACATTTGACAAATTTATTTTTGTTTTCATGAATATGTGACAGTTTTTCAAGCTATTGACTGTTAAGAAGACGATAAAGAGATGTTTCAGAAACAAAAATACAAGGTAATAAGGTGCAAATGCATCGATATAACACCATAATAGGAGAGGCAAAAAGAAGGTATCAGGAGGAAAGGATGGATTCAGCAACTTTTAAGGAAAATTATGCTATCTTTTTCTAGCAAAACATATTCCAATAGAGATACTGTAGAATCATCTTTAGATTGAAAAGATAAAGATCAGAAAATTGATTGATTTAAACCCAATTTATTAGTTTATTAGCATAGGATAAGTTCACTTTTCCAGTTCAAATCATGAATATATGACCAAAATTAAGAGATGTATAAGAATATAAAATATAATAATATAATTATTCAATATAAGACATTGATTAGAGTGTTACATAATAGGCGCTATCTGCTTTCCTCACTATTTTCGTAGATTTCTTTCCAATCGCTAAATTCATCATCGGGTAAATAAGGGAACTGCAACACTTTGGTACCTTGCTCACAACTGTGATCCCATGATTTGTCCACATTTAGATCTATTGTTATTGTATTATTCACTTCCTGATTACTATTGTTGTTGTTGACATTCTTAGGGACATGTACGGAAAATCGCAAATTACTCAGATCAATCCGAACGTTAGGTAGGCATATCTCATGTGCTGTTAACCAATGGAATTTGGCACGACGAGCTGGACAGCACTTATCCTAAAAGTATAAGAAATAATTGAAATTAAATTAGCTCACTATTTTGTTTTTTCTAACAAAATTTGACAAGAAAATTCTTAGATCATTTCAAAAAAAATCCCATATTCTTTTTTTTATCTTGCGTCTCGGCTCCCCTAATCGATAAAATTTTTCTCTTTTTCTTCTTCCTCCATTTAATATTTTTGGTAAGCAAATTTATCTTTTCGGAGTTCTACAAACACCCGAAATTTTTAATGGGAGAAAAATTTATTAATAAATTAATCAAAAACTAGGGGCATAGATATATTTTCAAATTAATATCTCACTATCTTCAATTGTAAAAAAGAACTAACATCATTTTGTACAAATCTGTGGAAGCAACAACGACTGAATGCATCACCGGGAGAATTAATTGCTTCACTATCATTGAAACAACATTTATATTTAGACTGTAAATGTGAAATATTAATATTTATGCATGAGTGAAAAGATTCTTTTAATAAAGTTATTTTAAGAAAAAAAATCCATCAATCCTTTACGACCCATAACTGATAATATTATTAGCATTTATGCAGTATCAAAAAATCAGCGTAACACCTAATATATCAAAAGAGTATTCTGGATCCATTGCATAAATTTTCAGATCTGGGCTAATTTCGTTAGAGCAGACTATTTTCACATAAGGTTCCTAATAATTCAATATTTGGAATAAAAAAAAAAGAAACAAGCCTGGAGAAATTTCTGCATACAACATAATTCAATAGTAGCATTTGTGCAACGTCCTGGTACGCATAAATCCGTCAAATAAATTCCTTTATCACAGCATTTGCTCATCCTATCTGCACCAATCCTTTTTTTCTGAATGGGTGGAAGAAGTATAGCAATAAATGTTTTCGTTTTTTGAAGTTTTGTCATTTTAAAAATTTGTTTAGGAAAATTTCGTGTCTAAAATTTGCACTCTGGAAGTGTTGTACAATACCTGCTCCATGCATATTTCATCTGTAAAAGCAGCGCATGGTACTTGATTCTCAAATAGAAATGGCAAGTCCTTTGGACGTTTCGTACCCCTGATTTGCGTCTGAAAATTTTAAAAATAAAATTTCGGAAGTTACAAATTTATTTATGTGATTGTATAATGCACTGTATTGTGTAATGTATATGATTACTTAAAAGTTAATCTAAGATGATTGAATCCGTCCCAAAATTAATATCAATCTTCATCCTTCTTATTCATTTATGATTTCTAAGAAAATTTTATTAGTTTCTAGCGATATATTAGTAGCAGTTAATTTCAAGCGATATAATAGCGAGACATTGCATTATGGGAAAACTCGATTCCTAAAATCTTCAAAAAATACAGTTCATTAATTAAAGCCCAATATAAAATTAAAAAAATACATGCTAAAGATTTAAAAACCCATCATTGAAAATAATGTAATTCGAACCCCCTCATTTGGAGTAACGGTTGTCTCACTGGCCGCATGCGAATAATCATAATCGCCTTCTTCATCTCCTACATCATACAGAGATGAAGTTCTCGCCGCTGGATTAAAAAAGGTTGTCATTCTTGTTGTCATTGCAGAATCTGAAAGTCAACTCTTCAGAAACAACATTTAGCTCCATCTGAATATTTTTTTTAGCGCCACATGATATAATATATTACAATAGTATTTGAGCAATAATTTTATCAATGATCGAAATTATTAGAGAGCTTTTGAAACTCACCTTGAATGTTCTGTTGTAGCGGAGTTTTGAGCTGTCTCAAATTGTTCTCACCGTTTCGATCAAGCCGATGTTCACGCTCTTCACCATTTAAACCAGTGTAAAGTTCGTTTACTCTTTTTTGTTCTTCCAACTTTCGTTGCTCATCGATTTTTCTCTCGAATTGCTAAAAAATAATTTAGACAATTTTTTTTAATACTATTTGAATAAATAATTTTATTAATGATCGAAATTATTAGAGAGCTTTTGAAACTTACCTTGAATGTTTTGAAATAAATAACATTAAAAGTTTATAAATGTAACATTCATTAGAAATCATCATTAAACTTAATCAAAGAACACGGAAAATGTCATTTATTTCAGCAAATACCAATTGAGAACTTCCGAGGATTCAGAGAATACTTAAGAAGTTTTAAGAAATCACTTGTTGCTGAAATCTTTGTTGTTCCTGATGTTGTCGTTCTTTTTGTCGCCTTTGCATTTCCTGTACTCGTTGTTGTTCCTGAACCCTTCTCTGTTCCTCTTCCTGCCTCCAAATTCTTTGTTGCTCTTCCTGTTTTATGTGCTGTTGCTTCTGCTGCATGCGTTGTAGTTCCTGTCGTATGCGCAGTTGTTCTAAAGCTTTTTTATGCTCTTGCTCTTGCTTTCTTCTGTTTTGCTGCTGCTGGTATTGCTGTTCATTTTTCCATTGCTCACGTTGTTCACGTTGTTCACTTCCACTTTGATCTATTCGAACGGGAAATGTACGTGATACTGTCCATCCACTCGATGCTCGCCAATTACTTGCTGTTGAAATATTATTGTCTGGCCGAGTTATGACCTTTCTTTGAGCAAACTTTAAACGCCTCAAAAAAAAAAGAATAAAAGTATCACTTGAATCGCTTGATGCAATAAAATGAAAAGAACAGATTAATGGAGAGTAAATGGAATCCTAATGGAAAAAAAAATGGACTGTTTGCTATATAGAACTATTTAGACATTATTATAAATTAGAATCGGGAAAAAATGAGGAAGTTAGCAAATATAGCTATAAAAGACTTTGTGACTTCAACTTCTGATCTCATTTCTTTCCTTTTTTTTAGGAATTTGCGCTGAAAACTGCACCACTTTCAAATTTCATCAAATTCCTTTATCTTTGCTACTTTTTTAAAGGTTACTTTTGAATCTCAATAGAAATCCAATTTTATAATAAATTTCAAATTTCAAATTAGTCATAGACCCCAAATGGTAGAATTTAACATTCACATCGAGAAATATTACTTTCGTTGTGTTTGCTGTCGAGCTGGTTCTTGCTTAGGCACTGAGACTTGTTGCTGTTGTTGTGATTCATTGCTGGTGAGCACCACCGTCTTCTGATTATTTTCAACAGTTGTTGGTGAAGGAGTAACACCGGATGGAGGAGAAATATAATCATCAGAAGTTCTTCTATGACTATTACGTACTGGAGCTATCATATTGGTTCGCATGGGGATATTAGATCGAGGATTCGAACTCATTCTGTATGTTTTATTGCTTTGTGGTTGTACCACTGCCTTAATACACTGAAATCCCTTGGACTACTTATCTTTGGCATCTTACAGAAATAGGACTTAACAAATTATTGCACTAAGAATTTATAACAATCAGTTAAAACACAAACAGAAAGAGCTTTTCAAGAAAAGCAATATGATTTTTTTTGGATATTGATTGTAAAAGTTGATAAAAGTAAAAAAATACGAAGTAACTTATTATAAATTTATGTTAATTTTCAATAATTTTTTATATTCCTGGTTTATGCTCACAATAATTCTTTCTTCTAACACTTTAATATCAGCATTACAGATGATTGTTAAGTTAGAAATTAATATGAAGCATAGGAGAGTTTTAGAAAATCTTTGTTTTGATAAAATTTATAGTAGCTAGAAGTTCTCGTAACACAGCTGATGGCGCAAATCCAAAGTAAGCTTGTCAAATAAGTGTTTTTCTCGATTACTGCAAAGTAAATATAAGAATTTCTGACTAAAATTTCAA